CTTCTAGGTGTAACATTAATGCCAGAGGAGAGGGGACTAAAGGGGCTAATACAATTTTATACTTTGGTGCACCCCTTTGAACGTCTGAACATTCTATGTTTAAATATTGCTGTAATTATCGATCATTTTCTTTTTTTTTCCTTTTTTTTAAATACATTGGTGATCCAAAAGTGTTTCCAGGCCAGATGAAAAATATATAATTTCCAGATTCTTGGTTCTCTTTAATGGTCTCTAAAGGTGATACAAAAAACAACTCTAAAGGGCGGTTGTCCTGATCAGAAAAGAAGAGCAGCAGCTCATCAGCGACTTCCCCGTCTCTACTAGGATCTAGTTATTTCCTCTCATTCTTCACCACAGCAGATCACACGTTACTGTAGTCAAAGCTCCTACACAGCTGTAGCTCACCTGTTCCACTGGAATAATAGGTGTGTGAAATGATCAAATCTCAATTACAGAACTACATGCAATATACACACACTCCTGTAGCTCCTAAACTAGCAGCACGACTAGTGCTCACCACTGTATTCAGACTGAACTCAAGAGTAACTTAAAAATTGAAGACTGAATTAAAAAAAATCGTTGCAGGCAAACAGCAAAACTCTAAGGGAGGAAGTTTATTTGTTAATTAAAGAGGAAAACTTCTAAGAGCTCAGCATGACATTGGAAACGTTTGTTTTGTCTTAACATCAGAGTGAGAGTCGTTTTTTTTCCTGCAAGGTTGAAAAGCAGAAGAAAAGTAGCACTGCTTCAACCCTGTTAAGATAAAGCAAACAAAAAGAAAATTGAATAAACCAAATCCATCTGTGATAAATGTTAAATTGTGTGCAGAAAACTGGATCCTATATACAGAATTAACTTCATCATTCTGCTTTCTTTAACTTAGATGTCAGCAAAGTATTTTTGACTGTCTAGAGGCCCGGTGATATCTCCACGTAATTTTCTGATGGGGAAACCAAAACTTTTTTGTGCTAAAGGTGAAAAGTCCTCATAGTTCATATCTGGTGTGAAAAGGTCAGCTCTGTCAGAACGTGGCATGTATGCTAACCAGATCTTATTCATACATAAAACTGATCCTCTGGCTCCATCGTGTGACAACAAATAAAACAAGGAAACCAGCATCAGCCTAGTAAAGATCTAAACCGTTAAACTGTAGCAAAGCTCAATGGAAAACTTGATTTTCTTTGTTTTCATCTCACTAATCTCCCAATGAAGACACACCTAATAAAGGACAGTATTTCTTTATACAGCACTCTTATGTCTTACCTTCTTCATTACTTTTTCTTTTTTTGGATAAATATCTGGAATTTGTTTATATTACAGATGTTTTTTGGGAATATGTTCTAATGCAGCCCATGTGAATAAATCATTTAATAATAAAATTTGACTTTTCAGTGTGAAATCAGTTATATAGCTTTATACAGAGCCAATATAACAACAGGTTTCATCTCAAGGCACTTTGCAAAGAATAATTAATCATATCAAAAGTCATAGATTATAAGTCAGTTACATAGACTCCATGTTGATCTTAGTGTTAAGCAACACAATCATGTTTAGTTTATTGTTCAAATTTGTTAAAAAGGTTTCTAAGGAAACCCAGTAGATTTTCCCAGCAGTATTTAGTCCCTTTGGAAGAGCATGCAACTGTTGTTTGGCTATAGAGTGGCTGAACCACGGGGTTCTGCACCGGTAACTCAGGAGTACTGACTGCTGATGTGTCCGGCCATTCTCGCCATGGTTGCTAAGGTCCTGCACAACTGGATTGATCAGTTAGTCAGGTAATGAGAGAAAGGAAACAAAGGAGCTGGTTAAGCATGTAACCCATTGGCTGCATGGCAAAGAGCAGGAGCTTTTTCCTTTTTATTCATTAAAGACAAAGAGGACAAATCCACTCCAAGAGCCATCTATTGATCTATATAACTTTTCTTTTTTACTATAATACTGTTCCAACCTCGTCATCGCCTGCGTTTTAATATTGGTCCTCATAATAATAATACAATGGAAAGTGATGAATTGTTCTTCTGAATCTTGTACCAATGGCATCAACCTGACCCGGTTCACTTAACGTATAGTGGAGGATTTTTTTGAATTTTTGAAAAGACCCGCCCCCTGTGCACATGCACAACCCTGTACCCGCTGCCGAGAGGGAATGGCTATTAAATGAGTGCGAGAGCGTGCACAGGCCCATTTCTCTGCATTCATGCTCTGTTTAAAAGTGGCTGTTTGCATCGTTCATACAAGCTTACGTTCCAAAAGAAGATTTGCAATTTTTTTCCACTGTCAGACTCACCACCGGTAAGTGAAAATGGGGACGAGCACGTAGGACGGCCTTACGTAAACATATCAACAGAATGATTGACAATTAGGAGGACCACTTATTTAGATGATCCACCCAGAGAAATATTTCCAACCTGGAAAAAGATTGGTCCAAGGGATCCATCAGTCCAGTGGCCAGTAACAGATCCCCAGGGGCACAGCAGCGACTATTGAGACCAGTTTAACTGTCAGTGGAGAGTGCGCATAAGATTGAAAGTTTATAACGGGTTTAGTTTATAACAAAGTCAAAGTTTTGTACATCTAAGACATCACAGTTTAATCCATCATCTGAAAATGGAAAGAGTGCAACAACTTTAAACCGAAAACCAGAAAAACTAAATGCCAGGCCAAACTTTAGAACAGCTGCAAAGAGCAACAGCTAAGGTGGGAGAAACGGTTGGTAAATAAATTGCATGTTGCTTCTGCAAATTTTGGCCTTCATGAAAAAGTGGCGAGAAGAAAACTAAAAGGGATTCTGATTGTAAATGACTGCAAGTAGATAGCAGGGCGAATAGCTAACCAGAGAAGAAATGCTGCAATATAGAAGGTGCAACATTAACACTACATCATCTTCATCACATAAACTATTATGAAACATGGCGGTGGCAGCATCCTATTACTATTAAAGAGAAATGGTTTAGATCACATCTTTTTCTTGTGCCAGACTGTTCTGAGTCTAAATCCCAGCTGAATCCTGCAGGGAATTTCTGAAAAGACTGTTGCACTGATAATCCAACATGCTTCCTATCAAGTCCGAAGTTAAACTATTTTAACAAAATCAGAAATGTCAAATCTGAGGTGTAGGAGACATGAAAAAGAAACTAAACAAATAAAGTTGTTGCTACGATTTCAGCAAATCAGCCATTTCAAATGAATGCATTTTTTTTATCATCCACAGGAGAGACAAAAAAAAAAAATGTTCGCCTTCATCATGTTAAGCACTTAATTGATCCATCAGAGGATTCAACCTTTAAGTCTGAAAATTATACATTTCAAGAAAGCAGAATGCTTAGAATTAGTGATTCAACATTTTATAGCATTTATTTAAACTAAAAATGAAAGACTTGGGAGATTTAAGAGCATAAACACAAAATGTGTGTCAAGGCATCCATGGTTTTGGAGGAAAACACAGGGAGGATAAAAACGCAGGCAAGACGAGGAGAACAGATATAGAATTTATTTTCAATACCCATTGCAAAGAATAGGAGGTGACACAGCTTGAAACAGATAATACAGAATTTATTTTTCAACCAGAAGTAGGAAAATACATAGGTAGGTGTAAAGGAAACAAGCAGAACCTGTAGTCAAAGGAAAAAAATATATATATATAATAAAAGAATAAAACTAGTCCAAAGAGAATCAATAGGACGGCTAAGGGATACAACAGAAAGCATTGTTTACCATTCAGCTTCAGTTTTAAACAGTATCTGTTGATTTGAAAACAGCTGCCTTGATTTCTCATCTGGGTTAATGGACATTCTACAACATTGTGCAAGTGTTCATCTTTTTTTTTTTTTCCTTTTTTTTTGCTGGTATTTTATGAATGGTAAACAATAGTTGGTCCAGTGCATAAACACAGTGACACAGATCAATATATGTACTCAGCTGACTACAGATAGACAATCCTGATCATTTAACAACTACCACTAAAATTGGCAAGGAAATGAGCAAATATACAAAATGGATGATAAAACAGATTGTGTGCGTGTGTGTGTGGGGGGGATCCAGATGCAGGTAGGAAGGTTTAAGATGAGCGAAACAGTTTAAGGATTAAACGGCTACATTTCAAAGTTGAAAGATAAAAGGATGTGTGACTTTTTCTGGTCATTATTGCCAAGTTTAGCTGATGGAAAGACAAACTAAACAGGATCGAAGAGAAAAAAAAACATTGTTTTTTTAAAGCCTTACTTTGCATGAAGACGGCAGTTCAGTTTTCCAAAAGGAGAAATAAAAAAAAAAAGGGTCGATTTGTGTAAAGAGTTGCCTCTAAAACAGAACTGTTCTACGAGCGGCTTTGGTTTGCACCGTTACAAAAAGATGCAGCGAGAAGAAATGAAAAAGAAAACAAAACTGAGCTAAATAAGTCTGAACACATAAAAAGCCTGCAACGTGACCCACTGGTGACGAAAGTCAGCTGCAATTCTACAGGTATTCAGAAGAAACAAGAACTGATTTGTGAATCAAACCTACCACTATCTAGTTTAACTGATTGAACCACTGTAAAAAGCGCAGGATCAGAATGAGATGGGACTAGTAGCACAAAATAAAACAGAAAATCACAGGACCGGTCTAGCGGCACATCATTAGCTTTGCCGTACAAACACGTTTTCATGTTTTGTTTTTTTTCCTTTTTCTTTAGCTTTTTTTGAAACCCGTGAAAAAGTATTTGCTAAAACTGAACTGCAGCCACTAGTGAGACAGCTCTGCTGTCCTAACCTACGGACACCAGCACTCTCCAGCTAGTGCAAAGAAACATCCAAATAAAGCAAAATAAAACATCCCTGTTAGGTTTTAATAACTTCCTTCTTCAACGCAACCAATCAACCCGCTGAGACGTGTCATGGTGGAGGATTTGGTTTGTGGTGGAGATCAGAAAAGTCAAAGGTAAAAACAATGCAGGTCACCGTCAAGGTAGAAATCATGATTTAATAAACTTAATAAAAATTTAATAAAGACCAAAAACTGACTTTTTTTAGAAAGGAAACAAGAAATTTTTTTTATTCACACTTTACAAATAAAACAAAACAAAAAAAGGCTACCCTTTACATCTAGTACAATACTAATGCCATTCAGGAAAGAAAAATCAATTTGGACACATTGATTTTTACTGCAGGAGAGGGGAGAGACGAGAGGCAGGGACCAAACTGACATGTCCCCATTTTCTTGCTTTTCCAACATTTAAGTTTCTTCTTAGAGAATCAGTGGAGCTGCATCTGAATCGCTTAAGTGCATTTCAAATAATCTCACATTTAACTTGTTTTTGAGATGGAACAAATCCGATTTAGAACTGACAGCCTGGCTCTATTTTTTTTTGACAGAAACAAGAAGTAAAGCAGAGATCAAATGGGCTCTTCCACCCTTTCCAATACAAAAGGCAAGGGGCAGGGGGGCGGTCCACAAATGGCACTATAGCTGCAATGGCAAGGGTAGAAAATCTACACAAAGAAAAGTGGGACAAAAAAGGTTAAAACATTTGAGAAGTGTATCAGAAAAAGTTTGAGGTTGGGTGGTTTATGATGAGGGGAGAGGGATATGCTCGCGAGTATATTTGTGGCCAGGAAGGAAGCTGGGTTGGTGGGGAAGCAGGTCATCTGGGTGCAGAAATAATCTGAGTGAATGTATAAAGAAAACCCCGCTCACGTTTCCTTACAGCGGAGAGGGGGGGTCAGCGGAGCATACCTGATTACTAGAGAGCTCAATGAATGGGAAGGATATACACATCATCAGAACATCGTCACATTTCATTAAAAAAAGGAACTGAACATTAACAAAAAAAAAAAAAAAGAAAGACATAAAATCTTCACAAATATCTCAACAGTATTTAAAAATAAAAGGAGAGGAGGCTGCTCGAGCCATCGTTGAATGTAAATAGTGCAAGACAACATCAACTGCTACAGTGAGTACGAGACGTACGCGCAGGACTTTTCTCCGTGTTGAGTCGTTTACACTTCGCTTTGGAGCCAGGTGAACTGACTTGGGTCGGCGCAGGGTGTCCTTCCGTCCGAAAAAAACAAAACAAAATCGGCATCAGTCCGGATCGTCGGCTTTGTTAATGGGCAGAAAGCAACAGGTAAAAATCGACTGTCTATTTACATCATAGCAAATGAATCAAAACGATGCTGAGGCGTTACAGTTAATCTCCTGGGAGTGCAAAGAAGAAAACAGCAAACGGCGCGAGCAGCCTCCTCTGACGTCTCTTTTACAAGCTGGTAATATTAATTCATCTTAACATTAACTGGATAAAAATTTTGCCATAGTTTACAATACAGTCTTTTTTTTTTTTCCTTAATCTGACCATAATTTATTTTTCGTACAAAAAAATGCCAGAAAACAGGTCTTTTTGTGTTTCATATACAATCATGTAAAGACTGAGTCTAGACTTCTATTCTGTACAAACACTCTGGTGAAAAATCACTGCTCCTGTGTGTGAACGTATGGCTGGGGTGGGGTGGGGTTCACTACTGGCCTTCGAGACAGTGCTACACATCTGCCTGCACATTACCTCTGTGTGTGTGTGTGTGTGTGACAGCTTGCATGAGTGAAGTTGGAGGTCATCTGATAGTGAGAGGAATGCTGGTTTTACTCGTCAGCCATTTTTCACTCTCTGGCTAAAAAGCAAACGACACTGAAAAGGTTTGCTAAAGCCCCCCCTCCCTCTGCCGATCGGCCCAACTCCCTTGCTCCTTACCGTTAAAAAAAAAATCTGATACTCCGGGCCACATGACTAGCATAGCAATTATACAAGCCGGAGGGGGAAACTGTCTGCAAAAAGGATGGTAGCTGCTCTCAGTTTCTCTTTATTTTCCTTCTTAAAACTGCTGATGTCCCACTAATCTGCTTGTCAATGCACCAGGAGCAGGGGTCAGAGTTGTGGACTATCTTGTAGCACCGCAGGAGGCCGTGACCACACACACAAAAAAAGGCCTGAGCACCACAGAATGGCAGCAGAAAATATCCCCTCAGATCAGCTGCAGTGCATCCGCTGGTTAGGATGCTTATCTAGTGAAAATCGGCTCAAAACCCGACTGAGAATTGACGCCGGCTGCTCAGAGCGCAGATGGATAACGAGCACGAGCCAAACGTAGAGGACTGAGACCGACGAGTCTGCTGTCTTTGCTGGTTTTAGATTTATACAGGGACAGACAGACAGCTCTGCAGCTTCCCAGCTAAATGTCACCCACTCAGCCGCTTTTGAGCCTCCCTATTAAACCACACAGAGCCTCGTGTAATGAATCTGAATGAGCTACCATCCCCTCTAGTTGGAAAGATGGCAAAAATAAAGTATGCAGGGGTTTATGAACCGAATGAGAAGAGGGAGTCCAAAAACACTTGATACATAAACAGGACTGAACCAAGCAGTTAAAAAAGGACGTAAAAAGAAAATCAGAAAGAAAAAAAGAAAAATATAGAATATCTATAACATTGTATACGAAATCCCTGTCAGCCAGACCTCAATGTACGAATATTTTGTAGGTTGTGTCGGTTTTGTTTCGGTCTCCCTCCTCCAGAGGTAGCGGAGGTAAGAGCTGGTTGAGGGAGAAGCTGTGGTTGCAGCTCCCCCTGGTGGCATGGCAGGGGCTCACTACCTGCGTGCAGGCAGGTGAAGCCCATTGACCTGGGAGGGTACACTGGGCAGGAGCAACTCCAGCTGAGCATAGAGGGAGAAGTGGTCAGAGGGGATGTGGGGGTGTGGGCAGCCGCTGACATTGTTCTCTACCAGCCAGTGAGGGTCCAGGGGGCCCAAGATGCCCAGCACGTTCAGGTGAGGCCTGGAGTAGAAAATATAGTCGATGACACCCTGTGGAAGACCAAAAAATTGAATTATAGTAGGCAAATAAAAGGCTGTGTTCAGCTTAAAAGTTTCCATACCTATAAGGAAGAATGTCATTAATTTGGGGGTTTATATCACATATGTCAAACACTTTGTTTATAAAACTTTAAAAGCAATTTTATAACCTCTACCAATTCTACTAATAAAAGTAAAGATAAATCTATTTACAGGAGCAGGTACGCATCTTAAAATCAACAGAAGCTGTAGGCTGTATCGGTATAACACCCTGAATAGTAAAACAAAAGACCAGAAATATGAACAAATGAGCTTCATTTATTTTACATTACCTTAAAATCGAAGGTGTAATTGGTGTAAGGCATTAGGCCGTTCTCATAGGCGCTCTTCAGCTTGAAGCCGTGGGTGATCTTGCCGTTGGACGTGCTGTTCTTTCCGTTGCAGTTAAATTTGGTCAGGCTGTCACTGTAGCGAAGCTCCTTGAAGTCTTTGTGGGTGCAGTCCACCCCACCGGTACTCAGATACTCCACCACACCTGAGAGAGCGGACAGAAGAAATTAATGGTGAGCAACAAGAGGAGGAGTCTGGAAAAAAACAACAATAAACCCATTCTCTACTGTTCTATAAGATTAATAAAGAAAAAAAAAATGATTTTGATTTTGTTTGGTCCGTTAGTAATCTTTGTTTCCATTTACATTAAAAACAAAAAAATAAAAAATAAAAACTGGAAAAAAACATGTTTATGTTAGTATATATTGTGTCCACTAATCTGGAGGCCTGCTCTGCCTTAAAACAGTGGTTTTCAAAGTGGAAGCTCCAGGGGGGAGGGGCTTAGAAAATCTCAGCAAAAAGAAAAAAAATATGCAGAAACAACAAATGGGTAAAAAAAAAAAAATTCAGTATTATAAAATAGTATAAATATTTTATAATAATTTATATAGAATAAAACGTTCAACTACATATCATATTAAAGGCACACTATACAACATTTTTCAGTTAATTAATGTGTTCCATATCGTTTTGGATGATTAAATGAGTCATTTCAGGTTGAACAAAGGTATTCTCGGCCGCCCTGGTGGTCTGTGGGGGAAATACTGCACTTGCAACTGCAGGAGCACCGACCCGCACCCACAGGCTCAGAAGTCTCACGAGAGTCAGTCTTGCTTTACGGCGAGAACTGCTACACGCCCCCAGTTAAAAGCATGCTCGTTGCTAGCACAGTGGCGATCTTTGTGCAGTTATGCTACGTTCACGCAGCAAAAGCAGCAAAATCGCGTCTGCTGCTTCCTTTTTGCTGCTTGTACCAGTTAGTTCTGACGCCGCGGCTGAAGCAGCTTTGCTGCTCTGGCTGCGCGGTGCAAAAGTGTGTCTGACGCGCGTTGGGCGGAGCTTCACTATCCTTTCTCTGCCTTGCAGCTATATTTGCTGTGATCAGTGGGAATAAAGTAGTTTTAATATGTGTTTAAGTGAGAAAATACACCTGAAAACGTAATCAGTGCCGTCAGTTCATTCAGATTATTATCCTGCCTTCAATATTTTTTCTGTCGGAGCCGCTCAGACCCCCACATACCAGCGGTGCGCGACAGTAGGAATTCCTTCATCAGCAGCCTCGGCAGCTGGTAGGTGTTTTTCATCTAAATAATCCAAACTGCATATTCTGCCGGCAGATTTCTGCATTTTAAGTCAATTTAGGCGTCAATAAACTGTTTAAGAGAAGTGATCATAGCCTCTGATCATCAGCGCTGTGTCTCTCTCCCTGCGTCAGATGATTAAACGCGCCCGACTGCTTCATGCTGCGTTCACACCGGGGGCAGCTGGCCGTCCGGTCTGAACGTAGCATCAGCTGCTCAGACGCGCTGCGCCTGCTGCTCAAAACGCGCCGCGGGATCTTTTGCTGCGCCTTGACGCGCGTCAACCATTGACTTTGCATGTAAACTCGCTGCTTCTGTCGCGCCAGCTGCGGTGTGAACGCAGCATTAGTCATTCGTTGCGTTTGCCTGTCTGCTAAGCTCAAAACAACTGCGCCTGGCTTGACGGAGAAACCAGGAGAACAGCTGTGCATATTTATGACAGTGCACTTTTACTTTCGCCCTCTGGGGGGAGCCTCGCTGGAAAATCAACACCGGTTGCATAGTGTACCTTTAAGATAAAAAAAACAAGGAAGATGGATACTTCTCTCCAGTGATGGAAAAAAAAAGCTAAACAGAGGAACCACCACAGCTGAACAACTACCTAAATACTTTTTCCACTTTAAACGCACGCAAAAAATTAGAGCACGTCTACTGTGGGGGGAACAAAATTAAATAAAATCCTGAAATTAATGTTAATGTACCATGAAATAAATGAATTCAACATTGAAAACAGTGTGTGTACCATTAAATAATTACAAGTAACAATTATTTATGCAATACAGCAAAATACAATTAAATAATCAATCATTTAATTAAATATATTTTTGAAAATTGTCATTTTTAAAACCAAATAAAGTAAAATATATATTTTATTTTTCACTTCATTACAGTGTCGACACAATGAACTCATGAAAGGTTTCAAACTTTCAATCGAACACGATTAGGGAGACTCCTATAAAGACGCTCACAATGAGTGAGACAACTTCTCGTTTGCTAGGACACTGAGGCCGTGTCCTAACATCCGCCCTAACCCCTAAATCACTTTATAGAGCAGGGACTATATAGGGGACTTTATAGTGAACCCAGTTAACTGAAGGTTTGGACAGATGACCGTTATTTGTCCCTCTCCAATTGGTCACATACACTATATTGCCAAAAGTATTTGCTCACCCATCCAAATTATTGGAATCAGGTGTTCCAATCACTTCCATGGCCACAGGTGTATAAATTCAAGCACCTAGGCATGCAGACTGTTTTTACAAACATTTGTGAAAGAATGGGTCGCTCTCAGGAGCTCAGTGAATTCCAGCGTGGAACTGTGATAGGATGCCACCTGTGCAACAAATCCAGTCGTGAAATTTCCTCGCTCCTAAATATTCCACAGTCAACTGTCAGCTGTATTATAAGAAAATGGAAGTGTTTGGGAACGACAGCAACTCAGCCACGAAGTGGTAGGCCACGTAAACTGACGGAGCGGGGTCAGCGGATGCTGACGCGCATAGTGCGAAGAGGTCGCCAACTTTCTGCAGAGTCAATCACTACAGACCTCCAAACTTCATGTGGCCTTCAGATTAGCTCAAGAACAGTGCGCAGAGAGCTTCATGGAATGGGTTTCCATGGTCGAGCAGCTGCATCCAAGCCATACATCACCAAGTGCAATGCAAAGCGTCGGATGCGGTGGTGTAAAGCACGCCGCCACTGGACTCTAGAGCAGTGGAGACGCGTTCTCTGGAGTGACGAATCGCGCTTCTCCATCTGGCAATCTGATGGACGGGTCTGGGTTTGGCGGTTGCCAGGAGAACGGTACTTGTCTGACTGCATTGTGCCAAGTGTAAAGTTTGGTGGAGGGGGGATTATGGTGTGGGGTTGTTTTTCAGGAGCTGGGCTTGGCCCCTTAGTTCCAGTGAAAGGAACTCTGAATGCTTCAGCATACCAAGACATTTTGGACAATTCCATGCTCCCAACTTTGTGGGAACAGTTTGGAGCTGGCCCCTTCCTCTTCCAACATGACTGTGCACCAGTGCACAAAGCAAGGTCCATAAAGACATGGATGACAGAGTCTGGTGTGGATGAACTTGACTGGCCTGCACAGAGTCCTGACCTCAACCCGATAGAACACCTTTGGAATGAATTAGAGCGGAGACTGAGAGCCAGGCCTTCTCGTCCAACATCAGTGTGCGACCTCACAAATGCGCTTCTGGAAGAATGGTCAAAAATTCCCATAAACACACTCCTAAACCTTGTGGACAGCCTTCCCAGAAGAGTTGAAGCTGTTCTAGCTGCAAAGGGTGGACCGACGTCATATTGAACCCTATGGATTAGGAACGGGATGTCACTTAAGCTCATATGTGAGTCAAGGCAGGTGAGCAAATACTTTTGGCAATATAGTGTATCTCTGCCTCCCCCCATGGTGCCAGCAACATCTTTATTATTAGTCGCCGCTACAACAAATCCCATGATGCTTTGGGAGGAGAGCTCTCGCAAAGCATCTGGTTCCAGTGACCATTGACGATAACTACTTTTGAAGGTGCATTGTGGGAAATTTCGAGTCCACTCCTTTTTCATCCACTAGATGTTTGGACACTCATCTAAAATGGCGTAACCACTATATCAGGGGTCGGCAACCTGCGGATATTTAATGGCCCTCTTGCGACTCCCTGGAGCCTTTTCAATAACGTATAAAAAAGGAAACGGGTGAATTTTTTGTTTGGTTCAATTTGGTGTACAGAAGGTCAAAAAAACATTCATTATCTCTTCCAATGATGTAAAAATGTGTATAATTAATACATTTAAGTAATAAATGTAAACATTTCTGTCAAGGAAAATTTGCGTCATAGCCTGCAACAGACGTTTCAGCTTGATGCGTGCCAGGCAGGTGGCTGTCATAAACAAAGCGGCTGATGTCTCAGGCCATGGATTCCAAAGGGGAAAAAAAGGAAGATAGCTGATGAGAACAGAGGATTCAAATTTGAATGGACTGAATCGTTTGCTTTCATTACCAATGCGGAAGGATTGCCTGCACTTCTACTTTGTGAAGGGAAATTGCCAAATTACAGAAAGAGTAATTTGGAAAGGCATTTCCAGGGAAGGCATGCTAAATTTGCAGCCTACCATCAAGTTGGGAGAGAGAAAAAAAAAAAGTGTGCTTGCACTACTTCGGGATGAGTTAGAGGAGAGCAAAGATAGATTAGTCAGAGGAGAGCAAAGATAGATTTAGGAAGTGGATTGCATCTCCAAACTACACTACTACTGCTAGTTTTGTTGCAAAACAAAAATAAAAATAGTACCAAAAATCTTATTTCTTTACTTTGTCTCTGTAATTTCATCAATGCAACAAAAACTAATAGATTAATAATTGCAATGTCTTTGCTATACACTCCTGGTGAGCAACATATTGTGGAACAAACTAGGGGGTCTGGTCCACAATATGTTTAATAAGTTAATAAAACAGCACACAATGGACCTCCCTTTGATTTATTTTTGTTTTGTTATTCTCAACAGTGTTTTAAAATGTTTGTTATTCAATGTGAACCTAACAGTGTTAAAACATGTTGAGTAGTCATAAAAATAAAATTCAAAAAGTACATTTTTCTTTACATATTCTGTGGCAGTCTGTTAGTTTGCCAAGGTAGTACTCAGCCAGAAGTTACTGCTTCTATGATAAATATATGCTAGAAAACCAATCCTAGTTTATAAATCAAACCAATAAAATTATAATATAAGTGTACAGAATATAAACAATACTAGGGTTGTCAAAAGTATCGATACTGAAAAGTTGTATCCGGATACAATACTCATTTTCAAAAGTATCGATACAGTGCTACCACCAGTGGCTCCTAAACAGTCATTCATCTTATGCGCAGATTAGAGGGAAATGCACTTTCTGAACACTGTGTGATTGAATAATTCTGTGCACTTTTTGGTTTCAGACTTTTTTCTGTAACAGGTGCAGCTGCTGAGAAATATTTGTGTTTTTTAACATGTTTGGCTGGTGTCATTGCTATGTGTGCAAAGCATAGCCAAGGAAAGAACACTTAATTTTAATTTTGTAAGTTTTTTTTATCAAGCTTGCTTAATATTGTGCACAGTATACAACCTCAAAATATTGTTTATTGTATTTATTTATCTATTTATTGTACTTTGTTTATTAATGAAAACATTTCTGTTGAATTTTGGAGTCTTTGTTTTTATCCTTGTGGTATCGAAAATGACATCGAGTATCGAATATTTTACTTAGTATCGGTATCGAGTTGAAAAGTTTAGTATCGTGACATCCCTAAACAATACATAAATAAAAATAAAGTACCAAAAACAAGCACTAACAGGAAACAAAACAAATCCTACACTGTGTTTTTAGCATCTTTTTTTATACAAAAAATGGGTTCCAGCAAGGAAGTTTTCCGATATTTGACAGAACATTGTCACCATGACAATTTCAAGGTGCATAGTCACGTTAATATACTTGATCACTACGTTTTTTTTTTTTTTTTTCGAAAGATAGATACCGCCTGCTGGGTTATTATTTGTTAATTTTGTATTTTAAGATTTATTCTATCTCAACTCCTTATTAAATGAAATCCTTTGAGTAGATTTACAATAATAGATGTGAAATACCGAGCATGTAAACAGGGAGGTAGCCTGTATTGAATACTTAGAAAAAATATACCCACTTTAAATAATTTTTTATCCAAAGCTTCATTAATTTAATAATAAATTCTATTAATGCCATCAATGTTTTATACAGAAGCCCTTTTGATGATAGAGAACGTTACATGACGGCCAGTAATTTGAGATTCTTTGCTAAATCAACTTCAATCTTTGAGAAGCACAACAATATTGAAAGAGATTGATTAATTTAAAGGTTCCAGAATATATATGAACTATTAGGCTATCAAATTATAGGAATTACATAAGATGTTACAATCAGATTTTTCCACTAGTCTAGTTGGCTTGATATTGAAATCTGGAGGGATGTGACATATTTCGTTTTCCTTATTTATTTGAGTTCTAAGAGGTTAGCAAAACTATAAATGAAAAATATAATATCAGTGTCAAGAGGAACCAAATTAAAATGCTAACAGCAGCATGTCAGGTTTTAATAAAGAGCAGCTAAAAATGTAGTCACCTTCACATGAATTAGAAAAAGATTTAAAAAATCCAACTCCCACTTACTTTAAATGGACTTCTAAAGGTTAATGTTTTCTTTCACTGGCATTAGTTTTGGGCTAAAGTGAATAATAACACACAATGGAAATAACCAACAAATAAACTGTTCTCAGTTTCTTACCAGAGTCGGGTAAGGAGTTGAGATCAGCACACAGCACCAGTGGAATGGCGCTGGTCTCACCAGACGTGGAAATCTTGAAGCTGCGTGTTGCCTTGTCCACGATATTCTTCACCTCTGACAGGAACATCATGGTCTGGACCAGCTTGACATCAGAGTACTCGGGATCCCAGTGCATGTGAGCGTTTGCAACGAGCAGAAGCTGCTTGTCCAAGCCATGGAGTGACTTACCAGCTTAAAATAAATAAATAAGCACTCATAAGCTCTCATAAAATATGCTCATGAAACAAAAACAACACAATTTAAATTTTATCACAAATGTAGAAAACCAAGATTTCTAAGAACTCCAGTAATAAAGGTGAAAAGGTACTCACAAGACATTTCCATTATCTCTTTGCGAACTTCCAGCAGTACAGCGACCCCGATGTTGTCCTTCGTCATCACCCTGTTCAACATTGCCTCTGAGCCTTCGGAGTTCGCCATAGCCAGCTGGTTGAACTCCACTGTGTGCTTCTGCACAGCACTGAACCTAGACAGAGAAAACAAGGAGAAATGTTTGTGAAAGAAATAGGAATTATGTTGCAAACGTTGTGAGAAGAGGAACATGTGATTCTGACTGGAGCCGATACCACTCAATGACTTTTAGACACCTTAAGAGGGATTTAAACTGCAATTAGATAATCTAAAACTCCCTAATGAACTACATTTTAAAGAAACTTTACAAAGTTTTTAAAGGCTGAAGTGGTATCAAGTATAAAATTAAGTTACCTGTGAGGAGATAAATAATACAAGCTTAGATTCAATTATTTAGGTCAAACCAGAATTTGCACTGTATATGTCACAATTAAACTCAAGGTAAAACAATCTATTCACATTTTATTCTGCAAAATGCAATAAATCAATCCAATGAATGATTTCATTAAGAAAAAAAAAAAAATAAATAAATAAATCTATAGAAATCTATATAGATGTCAGTTGGATAAGCAAATCAAACAGTAGCCAAGTTTTGAAAAGAAAATAAGAAATCTGTTTTAATTCTCAGTAATGTTTGGTCCTGGATCAAGATGTAGGTTTTCTTTCGAACTAGTTCTCAGTTTGAGCCAGAGATGGGAAGTAACGAAGTACAAATACTTCGTTACTGTACTCAAGTAGATTTTTCTGATATTTTTACTTTACTTTACTACTTATTTTTATGGCGACTTTTTACTTCTACTCCTTACATTTTTACACAAATATCTGTACTTTCTACTCCTTACATTTTAAAAAATTGGCTCGTTACTTTAGTTTTGAATCATTTCAATGGAGTTACCATTATTATTTTTCACGTCATCAATACTGTGAAAACGGAGCAGTTTTCCCCCTCTGGTTCCCAAAGTGTAGCCGCCGTCTATCACACACAGCGTCACATCCTTCACTACATTTCCCAGCATGCACCACAGACCGGTCGTCATGGCGGCGGCAGTTCCAAACAATTCCCCCGGTAATTTACACTAGTTCCGAAATTACGTCACCTTTCATTCAACATTTTACTTACTCACCAGCGTAGCAAACTCTGAAGGTACCCACTGCGACAGCTTTAATATACATTCCGTAGTCGGCAATAAAACTTCCCAGTCAAATTACACATTTTCTTCCCTTAGTCCGTCAGCATACTGGTCCGTGTGGAAACACGTACCGCATCGATGCCAGTCTCTTATCCATTGTCCCAGGGTATTGGAAAAGACTATTAGGGGGCAGGGGTGTTAAGTGGGATTTCAATGTATGTAATAATTGTTTGCATGGTAATAAGTAGGTGAAATGGTAATGTTAGTATGGTTTAATTATTTTTTGTATGAATGATGCTATTGTCTGTATTTATTTTTCTACAATGTTAGCTGTGCTTTATTGGCGATTTGCCTTCCTGTTTAGTTGGGCTGTCCCAATTGGCTGATTATTGGTGGGTCTATTTAAGGGGCACACTCCCAATGGCTTAGGGGGGCTGCTTGGAGAGACTGCTTTTGAAGGTCTGCTTAGAGAGACTATATTTAAAGTCAGCTTGCTTTGAGGCTGTCAGTGTTTTGTATTGCCTGCAATGGCCAGTTTTGTTTTCTTTATTTGAAAGTATTTTGTTTGTTTTTTTTTTTTTTTGTCTTCACCGTTGCACCAGTAAATAAACCCCTACACGCTTTTGAACTGGAATTTTGTTGTCCGCTGGTTCTTACAACCTTTTTGCAAGTCATCTGCTTACTCCTCCTCTGACGTGAGATGGGAGCTGGCGAGCCGTTTTCTCACAAAAACCAAATTCAGTCTAATTGGATGGGAATCTACGTTGCAATTGACGCACCACTACAAGATGAATCAACAGATTCGGCGGTATTCATTCGCGGCAAATCATTGCAGCTTGGTGGCGGTGGCGTTAGCATAGTAGTATGGACGACGAGATGATTGAAAATGAACACAACGGAGATCTAGTCCTATTGGCAGACATCCATTTAAAATGTAGGCAACGGCATGAAAAAAGTGGTTTCTACTTTTACTTTTATACTTTAAGTAAATTTACAAGCCTGTACTTTGTTACTTTTACTTGAGTAAAGAAGTTTAATCAGTACTTCCACTTTTACCAGAGTATTTTTTAACACAAGTATCTGTACTTTTACTCAAGTACGGAAAGTGAGTACTTTTGCCATCTCTGGTTTGAGCCACCTTTGTTTTTCTCCACTTACTTTTCCGTTTTGAAGAAAATTGCACATCCGTCCACATGTTTACGGTCCGACTCAGACATTGTTCTGGCGCGAGACTTTGGACTGAAGAACCCGTCGTATCCCTGCTCTTTCAACTCTGGCAAGAAGAAATTGTAGTACTGCTCCGTTTCTACTTCCTGTAAGTCAACCAAAATAAAAACAAATAAATTAGTGACCAAAAAGCTAAACATTTCTAGGACAGACACTGGAAGCTAGCTCAACATCTTTCAGAATAAGTCTATGATGTCCTTGTAGTAAAATCATAAAGTATAGTTTGAGCTCCAGAAAAAAAATGAAGGCAACGGAAGCACAAACATCTGCAGGCAAAACATTACTTGACTTGGATCCTATTCTTTGTTCAGACGCACTTTAGGACAATTCTTGTAGTCTTAATTATGGTATAATAATAATAATAATAATAATAATAATAATAATAAATTATAATAACTATTGTGTTTTTAATAATTTTATTGTGTTTTCTCTCACTTTCAAATATAATACAACTTCTAAACCACTTTGTCAATTATCAGTAACTGCATCACGAAACAATATTCTTCAGCAAACTATTTTCATGAGATAACTTGAAAATCTGATTTCATGCTTAAATAGGAACAATGTTGTAATTAGTGCCTCTATAAACTAACGGGTGGCATGTCATTATTAATATTATTAATTGTTTATGATCGCCAATCCCCGAATGTAGTTTTGAAATTAAAGCCAAAGTTTGTACCCATTAGATGCATGATTTTGTAAATTCTCATTAAAAGACCCACAAACTACCAGGTCAGATAATCAGCGGATTGGAGTGAGCGACATGATCATATCAGGTTGTGGAGGATTAAAATATGTCCACAATCTGCCACAGAAGAAAGTTTGTAGGGTTTTCTAAGGGCTGATGGATGCAGCTTAAAAACTAAATCAATATCTGCCAACATTAGGGCTGGGTATTGTTCAAAAATTTTCGGTTCCGGTATCAATACCGATACCTTCACTTCGATACCGGTTCCTGAACGATACTTTTTTCGATACCAGTTTTATAATATCAATTCGAAGAAAAAGAAAATTACACAACATAAAAAAGTACAAATCTTGAGTTTTATTTTAAGCTCAGATTTTTCCATTTACATTTTTCCTCTTACATAAAAAAAAAAAATTTCAGTGTCTAATATTCACTATTACATTGTGAGGACCTTTTTACTTAGCAGTTTTCCTTTAGAAAAATTACCATGTCTGACAAACAAGCCCGTTGAATGGGATCCTACTGACAGCGCACCGCTGGTATGGGGGGGGGGGGGGGGGGGGTGGTGGGTCTGAGCGGCTCCCACAGAAATATTGGAAGGCAGGATGAACTGACTGCACTGATTAAGTTTTCAGGTGGATTGTCCAACTTAAAAACATAATAAAACTTCTTTATTCCCACTGATCACAGCAAATATAGCTGCAAGGCAAATAAAGGATAGAGTAGCTCCGCCCAACGTGCGTCAGAGCCATTTTTCGACCGCGCAGCCAGAGCAGCAAAGCTTCTTCAGCCGCGCGTCAGAAGCTGGTACATGCAGCAAAAAAGGAAGCAGCAGACGTGATTTTGCTGGCCCTGCTGCGTCCAGTTTCAAAGCAGCATGATTCACTCCGCTCTGGCTTTGCTCTGACCACGGGCTGCTGAGAGGAGGATGGTCACGCTGGCTGCGGTCCGCTCTTCTTGCAGTCAAACACCGAGCAACTTTCTGCTCTTAAATTGTTTCCGTGCACGATGTATTGCATTGCGCACTATTGGCATCAGTCTTAATAAAGTGAAGCCGCACTTTTGACCTGGGGGGCATTTTAAAGGGGTTCCACGACGCTGCAACCAGTTCACAACAGATACACATGAACCCTGGCTGTAGGCGTGACCACCTGTGTATTTTTAACGCAATCACGTTAAGTGTTACAGCCAATCACCGAAACTTGGTACCGAAAGACGAGGCATGTTTCAATACTCTGTAGAACCAAAGCATTTCGGTCGGTACCATAAAAGAACCGAAGTTCGGTACCCAGCCCTAGCCAACATGCTGGATATTTTTCTTTTAAAGCCATTAAAAATCCCATATCAGTAGGACTCTACATTATACAACATAATTTTTGTCCTTTACTTCTTTTCCTACAACTCCACTAATTAACTTTAATATCCAGAGAAGAAATTGTTACCCGTCTTAATGACTACCCTGGCAAAGTGTTCAAACACATAGTTTGTATTAATGTTTAAAACCCAATCTATGCAACCAGAACTACAGAGCTTTAGTTTCCCCACTAAATATATCATGTTGGATTATTCGCCTCAGATGCAAGCAGGAAGCAGGCTGGGTTATAAAAATAAAGACCATAAACTGTTAAGTATAGCTGTACTTTGGAATTTATAACAGCACAAATTTCCTCAACCTCTTTCCATGCACGAGGAAGCAACAACGCAGACTGATAAGATTTTTTGGCTTTTAAAACATTGTTATGAATATTGAATAATTCTAGCTTTGGCTGCTTATTAAAATCTTTTTTTTATGCAACACAAATTAACTGCATATGGAAATTAAGATAAAACTTAACTGTTTTATAAAGTCAGATTTGTGTTTTTACAATGTCAACATGTTGGCCGTTCAATCACATTTAAAGTGATGAAATGTTATGAAAGATTTGTGTATATCTATGTTTAACAGAATATATAATCTTGTGTTGAAAGAAAACAATAACAACGATATGACCGACAGATTGGGTGATGTATGGCCCTTTCCCAGCCGAATGGCTCTACTCAACTCCAACTTTAAAATGGTTTTGTTTTTAGTTTTAGTACGACTCTTTTCAGCCCTATTGAGGAGGAGGTAAGATTACAGATGAGTAGCAGTAAACACAGCCGGTACAGATACTAACACACATACACACACATATATATATATATATATATATATATATATATATATATATATAGATATGTGTATAATAACCAAATGTTTGGACAAGGAAACCAGCTGAAATTATCATAGACACTCAGCACTGGTTACATCGATGCTGCTAACTTTCTAATATTTAGCTTAGAAACGCCAATTCTTACAACATTGCTGTCAGCAATTCATTTCAATACAATTTAATGAATGTCTTCTGGTAAGTTCAGATATATATTCATGATTTTTAAGTTATGATATTTAAGAAAAATGTCTTTACTGTGTTCAAAGTAAAACAGAAAATGGCGGGGGGATCCTAGAACTAAATGAAACTTAACATTATACATTTTTGAAATTACTCATGAGGCTATAAAGCTTTTTGGAGAGTATAATAGTTAAGTCAGAATATTTTTTACAGATGTTCTCAAGTACAGTGTCTTTGGGTGAATCTGATGGAAGCTGTTCTGGTTTTCTCACTCTAATGTTTCAATGGGAATTTGTTAAGATGTTTCAGGTTTTCTAGAGCTCATTAGCTTTGGATTTATTTATTTTTGTAATTAAAAGAAGCTCTACAACACAAATTCTGTAAAGTAGTAAATGTAATGATGGGAGGGTCAGGGTGTGTCTATATTTAGTGATATTTCCCCATTGAGGGACAATAAAGGGATTTTGCATTCTATTCTAACCTGCATGCCAGGTCACAGCTTTAAAGGAATAGTACACCCAAAACATGATTAGCCTTCATTTTCTACTCACCCCCATGCTGAACAACACTCTGGAGTACTTTTTTGATATCTCAAATGCATCTGGAGATCTGGGAGGCTTCTTGCTGTCTGCTGACATTCAAATAATGGAGGTCTATGGTGTCCGAGACAGACAGGTCCATAAAAGTCCACAAAAAACGTGTCAATATTCCTCCATACTGCTCGTCCAATGTATTCCAAGTGTCCTGAGTGGGTAGCATCCAGAATTTACTCGAAACGAAGTCATTTAGAATGTTTTTAGAGCATAAACAGTAGTGTATAGGATTTCCTGAAAGCGCGCGCCTGCGAGTTCACGACACTACGGAAACCGCGGCAGACCAAACCAGATGAAAGTGCGCATTCAGCTTGGCAAAGAACTCATGCTCTTCCTCAACACTGAAGTCCTCAGAAATTTTTCTTTCGTTGTTTCTTTCTTTGCACAGGTAAACAGCACATTTCTTCTTCTACGCTTGCATTATCGGCAGAGCAGACGCTGAATGCGCACTTTCATCTGGTTTGGTCTGCCGCGGTTTCCGTAGTGTCGTGAGCTCGCAGGCGCGCGCTTTCAGGAAATCCTATACACTACTGTTTATGCTCTAAAAACATTCTAAATGACTTCGTTTCGAGTAAATTCTGGATGCTACCCACTCAGGACACTTGGAATACATTGGACGAGCAGTATGAAGGAACATTGACACGTTTTTGTGGACTTTTATGGACCTGTCTGTCTCGGACACCATAGACCTCCATTATTTGAATGTCAGCAGACAGCAAGACGCCTCCCAGATCTCCAGATGCATTTGAGATATCAAAAAAGTACTCCAGAGTGTTGTTCAGCATGGGGGTGAGTAGAAAATGAAGGCTAATCATGTTTTGGGTGTACTATTCCTTTAAGCTAACAAGGTTGAGCCCAGATCTAAAAGGCAAATAAGCATGGGAAATAGGGTTGGTTTTGTGTTCAGAGTTAAGGGCCATGTATCCTAGGGCTGGGCGATAATTCAATAATGATATATATCGATCGATAGATGTGTGGCGCAATAGAAAAAAAGAGAGTCGATAAAAGTTTGATAAAAAAAGAAACGCAGTTTTACTTCCTTCTCATTGTAGCCTAGCATGTAGGTTTATGCTAGTCACTACTTCCTCCCAACCAATCACAATCGCGGACCCAGGCACGCCGTCACAAAGCGCCGCCCTCTCAAACCAAAACACAGAACACATGAAGATGTCGCAGCAAGGAGAGGCGGAGGAAATTGTTCCAAAGAAGGGTTTTTGTAGTTCGGCAGTCTGGCAGTATTTCGGTCATGGCAAGTCGGACCAAAAACAAACCACAGTCATCTGTAAAATGTGTAGGGAACCAGTAAAAACGAAGTCCAATAACACAACCAACTTTTTTTTTTTTTTTTTATCATCTCAGCCGCTCACACCCGCAGGAGTACGAGCTGTGTAGGCCCCGGCGCGGCTCTCCTCTGAGGAATCTTCGGGAATTTCGGGAAAATATATATACATTTTCAGTTCTGGGCAGTTTCCCACGTAGTTCTAACAATTGAGAGAAAAATGCTGAGGGGCCAGAAACTTCAAAGTAATAACTCAGGTTAAAGCAGGAAACTAAGCTGAACCAGGTTCAGCTTAGAAGTAGGGCTGCAACTAACGATTATTTTAAAAATCGATGAATCGGCCGATTATTTTTTCGATTAATCGATGAATCGGACATAAAAAAAATTTTATATTAACCTCTTTATTCCAAAATAAACATTTTAGACAGAACAAACAAGCACACAAGTACAGGTTGCTCATTAACTGTACTGGTGCAATATGAAAAATAAATGTTTGTGTTAAAACTACGCAAACTTACATTAGAAATGTAGAAAGACATCCACAAAATATAGGCTACTTTGTTTCATAAAGCGCAAAAAGAGACAGGCATTTTTGTTTTTTAAAGCCCCTAAGGGGTTCAAACAATAGGCCCCCCTATTTCAACAAATTCATTTTTTTTAGACTAGAAGAGTTCTGCCTTTTAAGACAGGAAAGTATAGCAGTTAAAGTTGCTACTTGAGAAAATACTGAACCATAGAGATAAAAATAGCCCTGTGATTCAAATTATAAATTGCATTTGGAATAAAAATGAGAGAACTAGGGGTGGTAAAAAAACACATCCTCCAAAGACAGATATTTACATGGGAATGTGGCAGATAATTAATTGACAAATTACTGATCTTGCTGGATTTTATTCTGCTTTACTTCCATAAATTGCAGGATCTTCTTTTCTTTATCTTTGCCAGAAGATTTAAACTTTAAAAGCCTTGCCCTCATAATTTGCAAGTTAATTTATTTATAAAGAAAATATAAACGCTGCTTAAGCTAATTCAAATGAAATTAAAAGTAAAATAAGTAGCCAACCTTATCCCTGTCTGTAACCTACTAACACGGTAAGGAAAGCATCAGATGAGCTACCTGAGAAACTAACGTAACGTTTCCCCACTTTAAAACCAAACAAACATGGTTACTCATCCTGCTGATCTGCTCTCTTCACTGCCATCGAAGGCTCCAACGTGTTTTCTTTTCAGGTGCTGCGTCATAACAGTGGTGCTTCCGTGCAATGTTAATTTGTTTTTACAAAAGTTGCATGTTACGACTTTTTTCCCTTTACAAAGCGCAGGCTATTTTAATTATTGTGATCAATTTGCGCCGTCAATCCCAGCGCATGCGCGCTTCATTTGCAGTCTGGACGCTGAGGGTAAACAGCGACTGCAGCGCTGAGAGGGATTCCTGTGGGAGAGGGAGAAAGGGGTTGGGATGGGGGAGGCGCCCCACGGCAGGCAAAAGCCGCCAGTGACACCGTAAAAAGTCGCCAGATTTGTCGCTAGTCGCTTTTTTGAAAAATAGTCGCTGGAGGGGTCTGAAAAGTCGCTGAGTTGGCAACACTGCAACTGCGGCACTGACTCGCTCCGCCATATTTTTTTTTCTTCCCCCGGATGACAGCGGCGGCGGATGACGCATTAATCGCGCGACACAACTAATCGATGATTAAATTCGTTGCCAACGCTTTTAAAAGTCGATTTTTATCGATTTTATCGATTCGTTGTTGCAGCCCTACTTAGAAGAATGGGGGCGGCGGTGGGGGGGCATTTATTTATTTGTTATATTTATTTTGGTCACTTTTCTGGTCACTTTAGTTTATTCTTTGTTTTCTTTGTTCTTTATTTAATAACATAACCCAGGTCTCTTAAGTTATTTTTCTTTAAAACAATTCTGTTATGGTTAAAAAAGTTGGTTAAAGGAAGATTTAATTCGAAGTCTGTGTTTGTGTTTATTAAAATTAAATCATTAAGCAATATTATAAAAAGTCCAGGCAGAGCTGCACATAAAATATGGTTTCAAATCTTTTCAATAATTATCGATATCGAACAATGTGCATTTTTTTTTTATCGATAAGCTTTTTTTCTATATCGCCCAGCCCTAATGTATCCTCCCGCAGCGTGTGTTGTAGTTAGCTTGTCGCAGCTATGACGCAGATATTTTTGATTTATGCCCGATTTTGAAGCATGGTCTGCGCTATGTTATTCCACGCCACAACACAAGAGGGACAACCACGCACTAGTTAGGATTGTAGGTGTCTGTGTGTCAGTTTGACGCGATTGTTCGATGTCTACAACCCCTCATCCAGCGCCGGATGACACAGTTCACCCGTGATTGTTTCCAAAAGACCGGCCGTGGCGCTGCGTGTTCGGGTGCAAACCAAAAGACAGTCACACAGAGCCACTAACTGGCTCCCTTTCCATTTGTTTTAATTTTTTTTTTTCTTCTTTTTTTTTAAGGGGGGGTAGGTGCAGAACACACATGCAGACGACCTGGTTGCTGAGCATAAACCAGGCTTTAGATGGATGCAGGTCAGTTAAAATCGTCCATTAGTTGTTATATTAGACGATATATTACATACAATAACAAATCGTCAATCTCTATATTTTATAAATTCATCCAATTTGTTTGCAAATTTTGTTTGATTAAAACACTGCACCTTTTTCCCTTTCAGCTGAAGGCACAAAAATGACCCCACTGTAACTGACATACAGGATGTTTATTTTCTACTTTATTGAAGTAACTGCAGTGGGGTCCTCGTTAGGAAATGAATCAAACTGAATGATAATGATTTAATTCATTCTAACATAGAAGATTCATCTCTACATTTATAGTAATATACTGTCCAGTTTCAATATAATCAAAGGGTTATTGTAAAACATAAATGTCAGCGATATTTATTTCGTAACATTAAGCTGCAACCTGAGCTGGGCTGTTTATGCAATATGTCCCACAAAGGGAATTTGTTTAGCAGTGTTTCTGCATAAGGCATGACCTCTTGCTGAGTTTTATTTGGTGTAATCATGTGATGTAAGGCCAAAATTTACACTCTTAACAGAAAGCGGTTTTAAACCTTGTAAAGATAAATTATAAAATGAAATACATCTACTACAAAACCTTTTTGCATGCTTTATTTTTTCTTACCTGCAAACTGATGATGTCTGCATTGCAGCCCATGATTTCCTGCATGATAGATTTCTTCCTGTACTCCCAGTTTAGAGCCCAGGAGGGGCAGTAGCCATATAGCTGTCGTGTGGCATACTTATCGCACAGCACATTGTAACACATAACAGAGAACAGTGCTGTGAAAGAAACAAAATTACACATATAGTTTAACAGAGTAATATAGGCAAAATCTTCTATATGAATGATTGTAAGAAAAGAAAATCTGTGATGCTACTAGCTTTAAATTCTGCAATGAAACAAGGAGGTGCCAAAATTTGTCTTAAAAATAGGGAAAGAATGATAACTTTGGCTATTTTTATTCCTACATGTATATGCTTGTGTTCTGCTTTAACAGCAATAATATGTAAAAAAATAAAATAAAATAAATAAAAACTTAAACCAAAACAATAAGATAAAATTAGAAAAAAATGTTAGCATCTGTTAAAAGTAATGATATGTGTGCATTAGCCTCACTTGCTGGACGTGTTCGGTCCGGTTCCTGGAGTGAGATCCACGACCTGGCTGGTGGCTGCTCTGTGGGTACTGGGCAGAAGAGAGAACCTGCTCATTATGAAGAGCAATAAAGTTTTGTTTTTAAACATGGTGCAAATCAGCTTTTCTTGGAGGTGAGCCGACGACGCTCAACTCCATAATTCTTCTATCCTTTAAACCAGCAGAGTTTAACTGAAATTTTATATTTATTTTTATTTTAACAAGTCAGTGTTTAGTTACAGTGGTGAAAAAGTAAACTAGTGTAGTGTCCCTTTAGTTGTTCAGGGGCATTACTAGAATGTCGTTAAAGACGTAAAAAAAAAAAAAATTTTTTTTTTTAAACACACAATTCTAAAATAGGGTTGCTGTTGGATTAATTGTACAAGTTATTCTACTTTAATCATATTATACATTATATATATGTTTGGTGTTTAAACCTAACATTAATTGGTCCTTCGAGCCGGATTGCAAGATACCCGACGACCCCCAGCAGGTAAGTGAGACCCAGATAAGCCTGCGGCCGCAGCAAAGAGACCCTTTACGGGACTGGTCTCTCCCTTACAAGCTGGGGTCCGACGGTTGAAGCATTTCGAGGACGCAGAGAATTGTGAGTAGTTTTTCTTTTAATAAGGAGTGAGTGAATTATTGGAAGAAAAATATATAAAAATATAAAAAATTTATAAAAATATAATATAAAAAAAAAAAAAAAAAAAGAAGATAGAAGTGAAGGGCGTGGGGTCACGAGATTCCCCTTTTGAAGTCTTCTCAGCGTGGGGTCACGAGATTCCCCTTTTGTACTAAAACCCTGACAATTCTAGACTCTATCAGGTAAAACAGAAATTTTAAAACAGTTAAAGTCCGCGGGAGGGCAGGCTCCCCTAGTTTGTAAGGGCAGGTTCCCCGAGTTGCAAACTAGTTAAATTCTGCATAGGATAGCGGCGTCCTCTGTGTTTAAAATAAGGTAAAAGTTAACTGCGCAGTGTGTGTGTGTGAGTGTGTGTGTGTGAAAGGAAATATAGATATCACTAGATATCTGTATTTCATACCAAAAAGACAAGGGTTAAATGGTGAGCTTTTGTGGATGTTTGTAGACAAGAAAACTCCACCTGTAAAGGTTGAAGTGAGTTTTACCACAAAAAGTAGTTGATCACCATCTTGTCTGAAGCCCCAGTGTTTAGAACACGACAGGTGTTAAAAACCCACTGGGCCCAAATTTAGTTCAAAATGGGAAAAGGGCAAAGTAAAGAAAAACAGAAGTTATTAGAGAAACTCCAGTGCAAAGATTGGAAAGCAGTCGAAAATGATGACCCATCAGCGTTAGAGCCATTGTGTCACTGGATAAAAACTACGGTTTTAATGGCAAATTGAGCACCACAAACATAAAAGATTTGCAACAAAAAATAAAAACAAAGAGCAAAAATAAAGACACTTTGATGGCAAAAGAAGGTTACATGCAAACCATGGTCTGGATGAAATTGGCAGGTCAGAGAGAAGAGGGAGAGCGCAGAGTTAAGAGAGAGAGAGAGAGGAGAGACAAAGAAAAGAGAAAGAAGAGGAAGAAAGGGAAAGTGAAGAAAGAAAAAAGGAAAAGGAAAGATCAGTTATGTTTCATAGAAAGGAGGATGATGAGTACGTAGGGCCTTATTCTAACCTGATACATCAAATACATAATCTCCCACCAATGGGAGGTGCTGCCGCTGCAGCCGATCCCTCAGCTCTCTCACCCACGGGGGATCCTCCACGATATACTCCCCCACAACATGTAGAAGCACCATTGAAAATAGCCCCTCCTCAAGCAGCTTCTCCACAAGCTGATACCTCCCAGGGATATATTACTAGGTCCAAAGGTTCTGTAGGGGATTGGTCAAAAACTTTAGCGACAATATTTAATGACATTCTGTCTCCACGGACACCCCGAGTGATGCCTGTGAACCTGGAAGGTGAAGGAGCAGTCCTCACGCTTCCTTTAATAGAATTACCAAACCCCTTAGCAGGCCAGGTTGAGGGGAATGCCCAACAACCAGCCACAGTAATGGTATACAGAACCTGGACACAGGAAGATGTTAGAAAAGCAGTAGAAGGAATTCCCCCTTCAAAGAAGGATGTGGAAGAATGTGTAATTCAAGAATGGGTAAATCGTCACCACATAGAGATGAGTGGTGCAACACTCCAAAAGTATATAAATCACGCCCTGCATGCAGAGAAAGTCATAAAAAGTAAAAAGAATAAAAATAAAGAATCCACTGTGTTTTATCAGGAGGAAGAGGACACTGTGTTTTATCAGCAGTCCGGAGGTAGGGGCCGAGGCTGTGTAAGGGGAAGAGGTTTTGGATCACGCTCAACTGATAATTCCAGAGCGTGTTGGTCATGTGGAAAAAAAGGCCACATAGCTAGACACTGTCAAAGTAAACCACAAAAGCAGGAAGCTCAGCATGACTAGATGAGCAACCATTTTCTATTAGAGAGATAGAGGGTGAAAATATGGATGTCTTAAACCTAGAAGATGTGTTTTTTTAAAAGAAAAATATAGACCAGAAATAGTTCTGATGGTCCAGGGCACTCCTGTTAAATTTTGTGTGATACAGGAGCCTGCAGAACCACAATAAAAGAACCCATACCCTTGCACATACCCATCGTAAAGATGATTTACCTGTAGGTCCATATTCAGCATTATTACAGCAAGCACAAGCAGCTTTACAGCAAGACCCAAATGAACTTGGTGCTGCTGCTGCTTCAGCCCCAGTCTTGCCAGCTCCTAAAGTTGAGAATCTACCGGCTTATTCTCCTATGCCCAGCACCTCCACAAGGGTTACCCGTTCTGGGGGACCTGTAGGGGCTTGGTCAAAAGATATGGGGGGAGGCTTAATCTCCCCACAGCCAGCCCCTGAACCCAAACCTGAAATTGAGTGTTTCCTTTAATTGAGCTGCCAAATCCTTTGGCGGGTCAGGGGCCAGCTGAAAATCCATTTTTTCCTGTCATGATGGTCTATAGGCAGGGGCGGATTTAGGAAATTTGGGGCCCTGGGCATGGATGGGCAGGGCCCCCCCCCCCTGACAAGAAAACCTATAAAACAGTCCCATTCTACAGATAGAGAAATGTTAATAGAATAGACATTCATTATTTGTTCTAGGTTCTGTCCCTCTGTTCTTGTTCCTTTTTCCTCTCTATTTATCAGCCTTCTGATGGCATTTTAGCCAAAGCATTTAAAACAAAAACATAATTAATATGCACAAATAAGGATTAGTTGTATTAACTATACATGTGAATAGCACCCCAACAGTTTTCCTGTGTGACAGTGGTGCATGCAGAACAACTGTTAAACAACAAATTCCAGGTGCTGGCCAAGGACCTGAGACTGTCATAGTCCGATTAGCTCAAGGTCATTTAAAGGCTGTGCAGGAGATCCAGCTTGTGTGGTTGAGAGACCCTGAAGGACTCTCCTGCCGGCTGTCTGTACTGACTTTACCTGAATGTCCAGTTAACCTCTTAGGCAGGGATGCTCTATGCTTTGTTTAGATAGAGGCTGGGCATCCCACATTACCATTATACTCTGGACTTTCCCAACAAACCTCCTTTAAACATCGGAGAAGCGCTGCTTCAGGAGGGAAGACAATCTGTTCAAATTGTACAGCAGTACATGGCCCGAATGACCTACATATTACCATGTGGCACAAAGACTCTCCAGGTCCTGATAAAGACTATGAAAAACTTAATTGGATAAATAATAAATAAATAAATAAAAAAGGGGCGCTGCAATGAAGGATGGCACCCGAGGGCGTAGGTTTGATTTGAACTTTGGTAGGGACACTATTGGTCTGGTGTCATTGGTACTATGCATTATGCATGCCTTTCTTTTTTTTTATGCTTGATATGAGCATCAGTACTGATGAGAGGAATTCATTGTTTAAAGAGAAAAGGAGCATTTTGCTACATTAATAAACATTTTTAAGCACTACACTAACTAGATGCTGTTTATCAATGTTGGAGTATCACCGGCTCTGATGAATGTGGAATTAGGACTGTTTTCCACTTTGTAAATGATTTTATTTGAACAACTGAGACAGACGGTAAATACAGTACTTTCTTCTGAATATATAGAATCGTGCAGAGTTAAACCCCACTCTTATATTTTTACCTACTATGCTCTCTCTGTATCAAGCAAAATAATACATTCATTAAAATAATAACTTCACTATAAAAGTTGAACATCTGGGCTGTAGTTACTCTGTGTTGCCCATCTCATGTATTTTATCTGTGGCTGAAAACATGAATCATATTAATTGATTATTTGCATATTCGTAAACAAATTTAGTGATTCATCATTAAATGGAGTATAGAGACTCTGAAACATAATATACATGTAAAATCTGGCTTTCCCCGACAGAGTAACCCACTTGGATCAGTAATCATACCAAAACTGTAAAATAAATTTATAAACATTTTGCAAATACGATTATAAAATGTTTTTGTCTGTCAATACTTTCTGTCCGGAGCTCTTCAGGAGGAGATGTTTTGGTTTCACCTGGTTTAATGTCATTAGTAATCTTCTTTACAGAACTTTTGGCTAACCAATTAATCGAAAGAATTAACGATAGACTGATCGATTTACGAAATAATTGTTAGTTGCTGTCCTAATTTCATCGTAACATTGTATTAAACATAACATTTCTTATTAAAAACATGTGAAATGGGGATGACATTCAACGAAACAAACATGTTAATCAGCCAAACTATCTTAAAATCCATGATGGCACCTATATGTGACCAGAACATAAACCAATCCTTCCAAATAAAAAAATTCTTTGAATGAGCTGCTATATTGAGTCATGATTTTACTCATGTCTCAAACGGGGGGATTGTAGGATTGATTGAGCATTGAGCATCATTATACAGCATATGGATTTATATTCTATGCAAAAAACTTTTGTAAAGCATGTCTAATATGTGCTAAACATAATCTTCAAGGAAATTTAAGACCTAAAAAAGGTGCTTTCCCTAAACCTATTTATCCTTTCAATTCTGTTTGGTTATAATAGATTTGTTTTCTAAATGGATTGCAAGAAAGTGA